AAAAAAAAAAAAAAAAAAAAAAAAAAAAAAAAAAAAAAAACCACATAACCTTAGCGTTTAAATTTGTTACGAATAGACGGTGAGAGAGCAAGTATAGTTTTATTTAATGGAGCGGGTGAAAACAAAAACTTAAATTTGTTACGAAGAGACGCAAGAGAGCAAGTGTATTCTTATTTAATGGAGTGGGTGGAAAAAAAAATTTAAAAGAAGCCGACTTCACTGGGGATCGAACCCAGAATCTCTGGTTCCGTAGACCAGCGCCTTATCCATTGGGCCATGAAGTCTTTTTGACATTCCGCTCTGTCATTAGTAAATTAACTTTACTTTCAGTCTAGTTAGGCTGTTCCTTTCCTTGGCACCTTTTGCCGCCTGGTGATCGCAGAACCATGGAGCCACGCTCGGGAGCTGCACTGCAACCGCAAGCATACAGGTTTGGTAACTCACCAACCTCTAAATCATCTCTGCACCAGCAACAAAATTATATTATTATTATTATTATTATTATTATTATTATTATTATTATTATTATTATTATTAATATTATATTATTCTCCTTTGTTTCGCTTTTTTTAAAAGTCAGACCAAAATGATAACAATAATAATCGATTTTGTCGCAGAGAAAAAGGAAGAAGGAATTAAGCAGAGGATAGGAATATAGGAATAAGGAATCCCAATCCATATTTATTTTAGCGGTGGAAATTCAACACTGCTCGCTTATATTCCATTTATAGCAATAGCAGATGGGTAAAAAGCAATCATTTCGGAGTAAAGCAGCGCACTTTGTTTCTGATCTCACCACTGTTCTTCTCAACCCTATTTCTGACAACAACAACAACAACAACAACCCTATTTCTCTCCCTCCTTCCGTAAGTTTTCATTCTCTTATTATCATTGAATTGAATTCAATTGATGTAAATTAACGTGCTTGTTGTTCAGGAAGAAGAAGACGAAGAAGCGGGTGAGTCAAACGGTAGTCACGACCATGAGGTGATAAATTCAATTGATGGACCTGATACTTCATCCTTCACTGCGTTTCTCTACTCTTTGTTATCTTCTTCGGATTCCGGGGTTGAGAAGAATGATGATGAGGTGGCAGGTGATGACTCTGCCGTGAAGACCAGTTTGTTTTCCAGGGGCAAGCATTCACTTGGTAGGGCCATTCAACAAGCTGCGCTAATGGGTGCATTTCGCGTCAGGGATACTAACAGGAATAATAATTACACCGATACCAAGTTCAACGAGGGGATTCAGATGAAGTGCCTTGTGAGGGACCCTGTGCCTGTTGTTGATCATTATCAGCCTCAAATTTCTGAGCCTTCAATGCTCGTTTCTGATGGGATGAGGGATGCTGTGTATGCCTCACTTCCGGGGCTTGTTCATGGCAGGAAATGGATGTTGCTATACAGGTATATATAATATGTATAAGATGAAGGTTTTCTTTTTGTTTGATAAACCAAGATTTCTCTATGTAAAAGTCAAGGACTAATCTCTTAGGTACTGAGATTCAATTAGTTTAAGAGGTTGAACTCTCTCAAGTCTCAACAAATATTTTTTCATACACACGGACTAAAAATTGAACTCCTGACTACATCTTTAAGAGACAAGATTATTTATCAACTATTATGTCACACTTCTTTGGTATCTAAGGATGAAGATTCGTTGGCATTTGGAAGATAGAAAGATTGTGCAGTTCTGTGTACAAGTTTAAAAGTTAAAACTCTTGTTTATTACTGTTTGTTTCGTGTGTTAATTTTTTGCATTTTGTACAGCACTTGGAAGCATGGTATATCACTTTCAACACTTTACCGGAGAAGCATGCTTTGGCCTGGATCGAGTTTGCTGGTACAGCTTCATTGACCTTAGATTATCAATCTTATGCATGTACTTATGAATTATCTATGTGTATTCTTCATTGGAGAATTTTTTTTTACAAATAGTATAACAGTCAAATGCACATTTTTATTATATTTCCCCCCCTTTTTGAGTATACTAGTTGATGTCTGCTTGGACTTTATTTGCTTGATAAATTGATTGGCACATTGGATTGGTGACAGGTTTATGCATTATAGTTACTTCCAATTTACTTTAATCTTTCATGGTTACTTCCAATTTGACAGACAAAAAGTACATATTTTACACATGAACAAGCCGTTGTTGATTTGAATTTCCCAGATGCAGAGGAAACAACTATTATGTTTGGCACTGTTCTGCTAGCTCTGTTTCATTGATGGTTGCAGTGTAGTTTCTATATCAAATACAAAGTTTTGACATTGTAATTAATAATGGTACTAGAGCAGCATGCAGTAGTTTAAGATGACTATGTGTTGAAGTCCCATGTTTGTAAGCTTACTGGTTAAAAGTTTATGCTGTCCAATTATAAATCCACATCTTGGAATTCTGTTATTTTACCACGGCTTGGCTCACTCTTATCTGGATTTGCAAAGATATATGCATTATGCTGTTCTTTAATCAGCAAGACTAATTTCTAATTGCTACTATCTTCATTCATGAATTGGTTCTCAATATCAGCTATTTTGTTCCAGGTTGTTGGGGACCGTAAAGGAGCAGTATTTGGTGGCTTGGTTGAAGCTCCTCTTAGACCATCTAACAAGAGAAAATATCAGGTCACCTCTTGTCTCTACTCCCTTACAGTGTTGGGTGTTGGCTGCTTCATTTTGCAACATAGTAATTTTTTTTTATCTTGTTGGCATTAAATTTTGCACAGGGAACAAACAATTCATTTGTTTTCACAAACACCTCTGGTTGTCCTGTTATATATCACCCAACAGGTATCTATTTTTCATTGAGTTTGAATTTGCCATTCTTTATCTTTCTTTTGCTGTTATCACTATACTGTATTTTGCTATCCACCAAAACTTACTATACTGCATTTGTTTACCAACTTATGACACTTCCCTGCGGGTTTTGTGGGGAACCTTTTATAAATTATTCTATGAAGTACATTTTATACATCAATATTCACCATTATTTTTGTTTGTAAGGTTTAATCTTAACTTTATTCATTCATCTGAATGTCATGTAAAAAAAATGAATTATCTGACATGTTTAACAGTTCCCATAAAAAATTAAACTCTGATTTTCAATCTTAAAGCATTTGATCAACCCAGGAGAAAAGAAGTTGATATGCTCCTATTCCTTTTATAATGACCCTGAAAAGGTTGACGTAACATTGTCATTTGAGATTCAGCATTGTATTTTTGTGCAAGATTTAGCATCAGTTTGAGATAAGTTTTGAAACATGATATAGTAAAAAATTAGATGTGTAAACTCCCGCTTGATGTGCATGATTGACGGAAAATGAATATCTGGCTTTGTTTGGAATTCCATATGCTTCTTTTCTCTTTACTAACTACGATGAATTAACCACAACATTGCAGGAGAAAACCGGTACTTCACACTTTGCACCACTGACTTTCTAGCAATTGGTGGGGGAAGTCATTTTGCGCTTTATTTGGACGGTGATCTGTAACAGCTTTGTTCTTTCATAATGCTATATTTTCCTCGCTCTCCTCGAACAAATCATTAGCCTACCTTCTATAATATCATTGTCCTGAATTTTGTCTTTTTTTGTTTTGTGGCTTATCAACTCAAGATTGCATGGGTCCAGTTCGGTTTCAGAAACTTACGGGAATCCTTGCCTTGCACATTCTGAAGAATTTGAAGTGAAGGAAGTAGAGGTGCACACAAAACTCTCCAACCCACACGAACCCCATTCACTTTCACCTGAGTCCCCCCTAACTTTCTTTTTCCCTTTTATCTATTTGTTCTAGCTGATTTGTTTCCCACCAAATTTATTAGTTGTAGAGACATTTGGTTAAAGAAAAACTAATTAGCAAATTCTCTTTCATCCATGCAGTTTTGGGGCTTCGTATTTCCTTCAAAGTATGCGGAAATCATGGAATTGAGCAGAACAGAGACACCTGGGGTCTGTCGCTGGTAAATATTTCTCTGGGCACGTGTCAATGCCTCAGCAGTTTGTAATTCATTGACGGGTCATGCTGCGTCATAAACTTGACAATATCTGATAGTAAAGGATACATAGTTGATTGATAGACAATATGATGAAGAAATTTCATATATCCACTCATGTTACAACTGTGTAACATGCTTGTAAATATTTGCAAGACTGTATGTACAGAGTTCATAATCATACCCATTACAAAATGGCCAATTTTGTGTGATGTGTTTGCATGCATTATTAAAGCAGATGAAGGAAAACGAAGGATACCTTGTGCTCCAGTATTGTTGAAGTCAACTGTTCTACAGTCCTATAACAAAAATGCTTTAGAAGAAAGAGGGTGTCTTTTACAGCTTGCATAAAAGGTGTTCAGACGGGATTTTTTGCTAGGCTGCACTACTTCTATATCTTCTGCTAATGCTTCCGTCACATGCAGTTACATATCGGAATTTTTTTTCTTCCATGCGACACTGTATTATTGATATTTTGAAGTCTGCATGACACACTAAGACCTATCCTGGAACTGTTGCACCAGCATCATTCTTCTGAAACGGTTGAGCATAATTAGATGTAGGTTAGCTAGGTTTAACATCTCAGTCCTAGCAAATAAATCTAAGATCTCCATGTACTAGAATGTAGAGAAAAGGAAAAGGCTTGCCTCTTATTTGTTGCACAAAAGATACTGAAGAGCATGACAAAAGAAATGGGGGAAAAAAAAACTGAAAACCCTCCTTCGGAGAGAAGTCCCCAAAAATTGTCTCAATTTTTAACATTTGTAATGTGTGTTTGGATTGAATTATGTTTAGATACTATTTGAACAATGGATCAAGTTTTATGTTTGGATACATATTAGGTGAAAAATGATTTTAAAATGATCTATTTTGTTTGAATTGTCTAAAATAATTATACTAAAATTATATAAAAGGCGTAAAGTTATTTACAATAGTTAACACTGTTAAAATTAGTCAGTTGTTATGAATAAATGGAAAACAAAATGTGATACTTTTTTATTATAATTTTGAAAATAGCTTATTAAAAAATATTTTCCTTTATAATCGAAATAATTTAAGATGCAGGACACGAAAGAAAAAAGGAAATAATTTAATATTATAATTTTTTATCAAAATTATCACTATCAATGAGATTGTTTAAAATAAGAGTAAATGAGTAATATTATAGTAGTATTTTTAAAAAAAAAAATATTTCTAATGTTTTATAAAACAAATATTAAATGAAAAAAAATGCATTTCACATATTTGAATTTTAAATAAAATATGTTCAACACATTCTTTAGTAGTTAGAGGATTTGTAATTTGTAAGAACAAAATGCAGGTGAATTTAGAATTGCTCTTAAAATAAGCTATTGATGTAGGTCTCAAATGGTGGTTATGTGATATGATGTTGCTTGTCTTGTTTGTTTGTTAGTTTGTTCTTTAAAAGCAGCTACACTGCTGTACACAACATCACTGATGTTCCTTCTCCCTGAACAGTATAAGCCGTTGTCCCCCCACCACCCAAAAAAGAAGGGAAAATGTTTCAGAAATCATTGAAGGCAATTGCACACATGTGCCAGCAATAGAAAGAGATGATGGCCAAAACAATGCCGCATTAGCGGATACACGCACTTTTGGTAAATATATGTATACATCATCAAATGCACGCGCAAGAACCACTTTTTTATAGCTTTCCACGATCAGGCCTTGTCTGCTGAATTTGACACACACTTCATGTGGTTCAGAGAAAAAGAAGAATTACGATTTTATTTTATTTTTTTCCCTGAAAAAAGCACTTTCAATAAATAAATGTTCTTAAAAAAATTATAACAATTCGGTTAAAAATATTGCAACTTGATAATATCTTTATCTATGTTTAAAACATGAATTAGGTATTTTTTAAAACTTCAGTTGATTTATATATAATAAAATAAAATACTATTATGTAATTTAATATATTAAAATATTATCAATTGTATTTGTAAGTCTCGTGAAAGAAACTTATTTTTTTTTTATATAAATATCATAATACTATTTCACTAATATATTATAGCATGCTAATTTTTAATTTGAAAAATATAGAAGAAACTAAGTAAGGAAAATGTATATATATATATATATATATGTGTATATATTATTTATTTATCTTGAGATTCTTGTGTTACACAAATATAGTAGACGAAAATTTTATTTTATTGGGGATATTGTTTAGAGTTTGCTTCCTAAAATTGGAAAACAGTTATATTCATCTCTGGAATTAAGAAAATAGTAAATTGTCCGAAAATAAGAATTGGCCATTACGTTAGACTAAAATTAAAATAAAAAAAATGTGGCTAAAATAATAATATTGATATATTTCTTTAAATTAAAAGAAAATATATAATTAAATTTATTTGATTTTTTTATTTTTATCAAGAACTAAAATAACTATTTACTCTAATACGTACGTATAAATAATATTTAAAATATTTTCAAATGTTGACAATTCTAATAATGTGACCATGTACTTGCTTTATTTTTTTGCCAATAATTATAGACATTATAAATATTTTAGGTAAATTAAAATTAAAAGTATGACTAATTAATCATTATTATTTGGAGAAACAATAAACGTTTTATTATCACTTAATTAAATTTATATATAAATTATTATATGAAACATTAACTTTTTATAGTGATACATTAATTAATAGATAAACAATAGTATACAGAGATAAACTTTGCCATCACTCACATTCAAAAGCAAATAATTTAATCATCATTTGTTGAAATATACATTTTAAATAAAAATAAAATAAAATAATCATTTTCGTTATTAAATTTATAACGCTGTTTCTTTTCACGGTTCATTTTATTCATTCAAGCCAGAAAGCAAAAAATATGAAATATGCACAATTTGGTCGTCTCCAGAAACAGTAATGCTCACGCAACGATGTCGTTTAGTAGCAGGCATGGGAAGTAAGGTATCCGTCGTGGTTTACCGTTTACGGCCGTTACGTAGAGTAGCTATATCTATAATTCACCGTCAAATCTAAATCGGAAGAATTAGAATCAAAGCAAGCCCTGAATGGCGCCACCGCCGCCGAAGCCAAAAGGGGCCACTCAGGGGATGAATAATGCAAGGATTCACTTCTATTCCATTCTCCTCGCTCTCCAATACGGAGCTCAACCTTTGATCTCCAAACGCTTCATCAGGTTTTTCTCTCTCCACAATTTCATTTCTATGCTTCCTCGTTTCTTTTTTATTCACGATACAGTTGTAATTATAGTTACCGCCGCCAACTGCTGAAGCATTTTATCACCTTTTTCTAAAGTCCTGGACCTGCACTTAGTTATCACTTTTTCGATTAAGCGTAGAAATTAGTCGTTGTTTTAAATATCGTCGGCAGAATTAATTATCTTTTCCGCTTGATCTATTCTGTGGTTGTTGGTAAGATTGGTTTGTAGTAGTAATTGGTGGAGTAGGATCGCGAGATTGGCATAATTCAACAAGCTGAGCTAGTTTTTTTACTTAGTCGGCAATGTTGGCTGTGGCACTATGGAAAAGAAAAAAAGAAAAAAAGAAAAAAGGAAAGAGTAAGGGTCTCTAAACAGTAGAAGAATTCAGTTGATGAAATATGTAGTATAAAATAATAAAATCCTTTGAGGAATCACCACTTGAATGCATCCTTTCCCTTTTATGTTGATGCATATGCTTAGACATATGGAATTTGAAGGCCTACTTGGGTGTGGTGCATGGCTTTATCTGGGAAGTAGGGATCCTAGAAATCCATTTAGATTTAGCTGCATTTTTCTTGTTTTGCCTGTCACACATTTACATAATTCAAGACAGACATGCTCGGAAAGTGGGAATTCAGGTCAAGATCAGTTAAGTGACTGGGTTTCCTTGTTGGATTTGGCTGTTTTTAAGTGACCAGGTTCACTTCAGAGTGCAGCTACAGTCCTTGATTGGAAAATCAATGGTTGAGTTTGTGATAAAATAATACACAGATATAAACAAATTATTTAGTAGTTAAACTTTTAAGTATTGACTTTCTAGTTAATGGTTATAACTTATCTTCAAAAGTTCGCTCCCTCTCTTTAGAGGAGTTAAATTGTTCCTTTTTTTTTATTATTTTAGTTTCTGATAATGTTACAAATATATGTAGGATTGGCTATGAAGTTATTCTTACTCTAATTAGCACAAAATTTACATGATATTCTAAGCATAGCTCTTTTCTGTTTTTATCATATTCATGTAGCCTAGATTTGGTTTTTATGAGAACGTATTTGGCTCCATCTATTTTTTAGGATTTGGATTTATTTCTTTGTCCTTATGCATGATTCCAGTGCAAGCTAGTGTGCCTTCAGTTTCCTTATGTTGAGATACAAGGATACAAAAAATCAGAAGAAAAAAAGGGGGATATATACATATTAGCTCAAATTATAAAATCAAAATTAAAAAGAGGCACAAATGTTTCAAAAGTCAGCATTAGTCATTCTCCACTTTCTTGTATCCTATTCTTAATATATCCCAATCCCATCCATATTAGCGCAAATTTAAATGAAAAAAAATTGCATATCCTGGCTGGCGCATATCTGATTGTGTATCCAACATGGATACACAGTTAACACTGGTATTGTATGATAATCACTATGAAATGTCTGCTTCCTCTTTTAACTAGGGTTAAAATTAATTTATCCATGTGATTAGTGGATTTTAAATTTTAAAATCTTTCAAGTCATTCAGTTTCTTGTGCATTAAATCATTAATTAACATCTTAATTATGAATGACCATGTGAAGCATGTCTTATTAACCTATTCCCCCCATTTCCTGTAGACGTGAAGTTATTGTGACTTCATCTGTTTTGTCATGTGAGATTGCGAAGGTAATTTTTGAACTGTACCACATAGCTTTGGCGTGCCTTATTATAGAACCTGTACTTTAGCATGCTTTTCTTATTCTTTATATCTGTGTTTTAGGTTATATGTGCAGTGTTTTTCATGGCAAGAGATGGTAGTCTGAGGAGAGTGTATAAAGAGTGGACATTGGTTGGTGCATTGACTGCATCGGGACTTCCTGCAGCTATATATGCATTGCAAAATAGTTTGCTGCAAATTTCTTACAAGAATCTTGATTCGCTCACATTCTCAATGCTAAATCAGACAAAAATATTTTTCACTGCATTCTTTACATATTTCATATTGAGGTATGTTCCTACAATTACAACTGTTAATATTTCTGCTATTTTTTGACAAACCCATTTGTTCACCGGTTAAAGATGGTACACTAAATTGTTATCCATGTTTGTCAAATAAATGGTTTCACACTTTCACTCTGATAGCTGTTGTGTCAGTATAAAAAACAAAAGTAATTTGTTCTGCGGAGCTGGAGTTGTGTCCCAGTTACTTGTGGTTTTGGCTGGCCAAGATATAATTTTAGTGTTGTTTAGGTTGTTTTCTTTGAACCTACTTGTATTCTTGCAGTCTGTGAGTTGGGTTGAGGTCATTGATGTGCACTTGGTGTATTCCAGAATCTTTAACTATATTTTGTTAGGTTTGGTGTATTTCACATTAGTTTTATGTGTTTTAGATGATTTTGATTTCTTGTTCTCTTGTTGGGTGCATCTGCAGCAGTTTCAGAGGGTGATTATAGGGACACACTTCTGAGAGACTTTTCTTCTATTCTTCTCTTACTGGAAGGATTTCTACATTTCTTCTTTATGCTTTGTTTGGGTTCAGCAGTGCTT